GCAAAGCGAGATGTGCGTTGTTGGAAAGGGTAGACTTACTAGCCCTCAGAGCCCTAATCGCCGCATCCAGGATATCCAAACAGCTCTGCAACTTCGCATTCCTACTCCCCAAGCTCAACCCCTTGATCAAGTATATCGAGCTCGTCGTTATCCGCAAGAAGATTCTGACAGGCGAGTACCGCAGCGCCCCTGTTTCAGACAGCTGGCAGACCTTTTGCAGAATCTGACAGCTTCCATCGACGACTTCTTGGATGAAGTCGTAGTCTCGGGGCTCAAGGTTGAACGGAAGATTATCTTCCTGCGGCACATCCGGATCGGTTTCAGCGAGTGTACGCTCGACAACGGCTTGCATGCCGAGAGAGTTGGTGTAGATGCGGACGTATTGGTATTCTATGTGGAGCATGTCGTGAAGACCGACTTTGAGTTTGCAAGGATCGAGATACTTCTTCCGCCATGATACGAGCAGTGGCTGGAAGTGCTCGAGCAGCCCGATGTAGCGACCGGTGCGTAGTAAGCTTCGTGTCGTGGCTGTGTTCGGGTAGATGGTGTCTGAGATTGAGCGCGCGAGCTTGGTGAGTTCGACCCATGCGCTCATGAAGGACTGCCATTGCTCGACCGCACCAGTCGCAGAGTCAACTGGAATCTTCTCCATCAGAGCATGATTAAGACTCTGCGGGATCATCGATGTGCAACCGAGCCTCCATGAAAGCTGCTCGAGCAGAACATATAGTAGCTTCCGAGCTCTGATCCTTCGTAAGATGAGGTACTCAGTAGTGAACTTTGGGTAAGAGACTTGGTCCTTGTCGATCCTAGCGTTGTCTTCGAAGAGACCCAGCTCTTGTGCTAGTGACAGCGCGCACCCCATCAGCATCCATGACATACGGTCAGAACGCTTTGCGGGCTCAATGACATCCTCAAGCCATCGGTTGGATGTTACATCTCCTTCCAACAGCTTCGCGCCTTCTTCTGTGGTGTTGTTCGCTCCGATCATGAGCTCGCAGTCCCAGCCATCAGCAGCAGTGGGGAAATGCAGCGCGCGAGGATGCCATTCGGATAGCAAGAGAAGAGCCTCTATAGATCCGATGGTCCGGCTCTGCGCTTTGGATGGCTTAACCTGTCCGAGCATGATCTTCATGATGAAGCGCTGGCACTGCTCCCAAAGCCGATCATGCACAAAGTAACCTCTGGACGCGCCGCCTACACCAGGAAGAATGTTGTACCTAGAAGAGATCATAAGTATGGTAGTGCACAAGAATGGATCCAGCGCGATCAGCGTGTAGTGATTCTCATGATGGGAATAAAACTCTCCCAGTATCGGCGATAACGGCGAGCAGTTCTTGAAGAACAAATCAACGTAGGTGACCGCCTCATGTGCGGAGAACCAGCCCATCTGCACGAAGCGACACGACGTCCATGTCTTCAATGTCTCCGGTGACGGCGTTGACATCTGCACCGGCTGCGCTCTGAACGTGTGAAACGGCGACGACGGAACACCCTCATAGCCCGATGGCCCCGACCTAGGAGTCTCATATGCTTGCGACCCCGACTGTTCCTGGCTATCGATAGCATCGCGATGATGCGCAGCTTCGAAAAGCAAATTCAACGCATCGCTCCCACTCGACACCACGGTCCGCATCACCGAATGCGCAAGATCCGGCTGGCTCGACGAGATCCTCCTCAGATGTCCATGAGGCGACTGAAACTCAGTGCGATTGGTACCATTGACATGCGGACTAGTCCCCGGCGTGAAACCATGCGTCGATATGGACGACCTATGAGCTGGCGAGGGCTGCACGTTTGGCGCAGGATTGGACTGAGGGCGATCATGAACAGGCTCATCGTCTTCCTCGCCCTCGCGCGCCGCTTCCCCCGGTTTACGTCTCTTAACCCAGCTTCTCTCGGAGCGAAACACACACTCGCGCATCTCCCGCTTGCATCGCTGACATGGTGGCTTTAGTTCACCTCCATCTGGCCCGGTTCCCAAGATGCACTTAGCCTTGCGTTGCCGGCAGTTGATGCAAGCCTTGTATGCGCGCTTGAAGTCCTCGGGGTGGGTCCGCTTTTTGCTTGCAGACGCCGAATTGGCATCTTGTTGGCCTGTGCCAGTAGCGGAGTCGTCCATGGTAATGGGATAAAAGTTATAGATGATAGGGTGATACAACGGATGGCGCAGGAATTGGTGGTGGGCGGAAGCCCGGGTATGACTGGGTTTTGCGCCTCGGGTATCGGCGGTCTGGTGGCGGGCTTATTCTGCAGCCGCCTGCGCCCTACGAGGTAAGAATGACGGACATTATCTGCGACGCAGCTTCCATGATGTGTTGAGAAGCCTCGTTCTGTCTTGGTATTTGCGCACGATAGGAAGTTGTTTGTATTGAAGACCACAGTCGCTGCTGCATTGCGATGGCACTCGTGTAGTGACCGGCTATTGGTGGGGATCTGAGCAAGCATCGGGAAGGTGCAAGCATGCATTCGGTAATCACGATCGATTGTAAATCATCTACCATGAGGTGCTATCGGGAGCTTACTTACTAGGCTGTACCCGTCACGCCGCTCGTCTGCGCCAAAGCAAGTCCTAGTCGATTCTCAGTATCCTCATCTCGTTATTAGCCACAACTCGTCCGATCGCTCAATCTCAGAGGTCTTGATCCGCGCGAGAATGATTCTATATCAGGGGTGCAGTATTGCTACACCTAGAGAGTGAGGAGGTGTTAAGGGCGACATTATGTTAATGTATAGCTAGTGTGTAAGCAGTTAAAATTATCTAGGTAAATAGTTTAGAGTACAATAAAAAAGTAGGTAGAGATTAAAGGTATATTATATATGCAAGGGCGTTAAAAGGCGCTTAAAGTGCTAAAATAGATAGTACTGTAGTTGCGATGTGTGCGATAAACGGTTGTATGGTAGCGATCCTACACCTATCGATATCTCTTCCTACATAGGAACGAGCTTTAGTCACACTAACCTTCTAGAAAAGCGTAACATACTCTTAGCTAAGCGCGCGCATAGTGGCATATAAGCGTATACAACTTCTATCACCCTGCTTTCCTGCCATTCCACTCAGCAATCGGAAGTGTCGAATCACCAAAACCCCGACCTTCCACTCGTGGAGTCTTCTCCACAACCGGAAGTTCAGACGCGCCACGCGCTCCTTGACCAATACTACAGGCCACCGGGAGATTCGCACCATATCCCATAACCTGCTCCGCGTTCAAGGCCCTTGCTCTTCTTTTGTATAGCAGAAATATTCCCAGTACGATGAGACCGACCCCGAATATAGCACCAAGCGCTGCCCCGGCTACAACACCAGAGCTCAATCCATTTTGAGGAAAAGGAATAGGAGGCGTTGAGGTTGTTGATTGCGTTTCAGTAGCAGTGGATGAGGTAAGACTTTGGTCACCGGAAGGACGACGAGACGTTGACTGTGATGAGCGATCCGAAGTCCGGAGACTAGACGTTGAGCTTCTGGCTCCTGTGCTGGTGTTGGATGGTATGCTAACTATAGTGCTAGACGTAGGGGGTACAGCAGTAGCTGATCGCAATGGCGTGGGTAGAGGTACAGTAGTAGCTGGGCGCGGTGGCGTAGGGAGTCTTTGAGTCGTAGTATCTTCAAGACCGGAGTCTCTGCATTGAGCTTGATTAGCAGCATCAGTGAAGCACTCCATGCTCGACGGGCAGCAGAGCCATCCACCAAAACCACATGGGGTTTTGCAGTCACGCCTCTTCAGCACATGGATGGGTGTTTCAATACGTAGCGCTGTGGCGACAGCGCATGCGAGTGGACCAAGTGAGACGAGAAATTGGAGAAACTGCATATCGGCGCCGGGAATGGGTCAGGAGAAGAACTTCGAAGTCCTTGTAGAGCGGCCTCGATAAGTATCGATCAAGGCTGAGGTGCGCTACTCTGTGTCAAGCTATGTCTTGCATACCTGCCAACTTGGCACCTCAAGGCTGAGGCAAGGCTGAGGAGATGTTCATATCGTGGCGGGGAGACGGGCGAGATGTCGAAGCTCTCGAGAGCTTCTCCGCGCGCTTGGCGAACTTTTTAAACCAACCTTATCTTGTGACTCTGTTTCCGTTGTAAAGTTTTCTTTTGGTTCCGCCCACCAAATCTGCCATCACTCAAAACATCCAAGCGGTCGCGACAACAACACCAACTCCCACAATCCCACACCAACTCCTCTCTACCCTTCCACCCGAGCCCGTCGTCGATGAAGCTGGCGCATCAGATGCATCGGATGCATCAGTCGACGCCGTCAGCTCGTTGGTAGTCGATGCTGTCGATTCCACACCAGTCGACTCCGAACTCGAACCAGCACTCTGCGCAGCACTCGAGAACAACGCGCTAGTAGTAACACCACTCGCAGCCCCGACCCCGGTCTCAGACACCGATTGAGAACTTCCCACGCCTGTGATATGCGTCGACATCTCCATCTCCATCGACGTCACAGTAACGGAACCCATGCTAATTGGTGTCGGCGTGACAGTAGCAAGATCCGAGCTGACCACCAGCGTCAGTGTTGAATTGACAGAGAGGTTAGGAACCTCGCAAAGCGCTTGATTATTCTCGTCCGTCATGCAGATTTCGTCGCCGGTACAGCACAGTTGGGCGGCGTAGCCGCATGCCGTACCGCCGTTGTCGCATGTTTGCGCTGATGCGACGCAGTAGTGGGAGTAGCAAGCGAGAAGGAGGGGTAGTGGGATGGTGAAGCGCATGGTGAGTACTAGTCGCTGAATTGTGGTGGTTTGAGTAGGAAGGAGGTCGAGTTTTATTGTTTGTTGTGGTGCGGTCTTATTGAATCCTTCTGTCGGCTAGGCTAACCTCATCTGCTGTTTCTCGTATTACGGATGTTGGACCTCAATTCGCGTGGTTAGCTACTTCTCATCGTTTCTACGCGCATCACGACAAATACTAGCATGGAAAAAGTTGAGTCGTGATGGAAATCGAACAACGTGTCTCATGATCGCTACTCTACCTCGATCCAGTAGCACCACCTCTATCTCTAAGCCAACGCAACGTCCTTCCTCTGCGCCTTCCTCTCCTCAATCCCCTCCCTCCACTCCCTCCCCTTAACCGCCGTCAACCACGTGGCGCCCGCTCCCGCCACCAAAAAGCCCGCGCTGATGGTCGAAAACCAACCCACGCCAATCGCCCTCACAGCCGGCAAACACGCCGCACTCCCCGCCGCCGCAAACATATACCGCATAAAATAATTCCCCGCCACAACCTCCGCACTCCTCCCCTGCATAACATCCAAACAATACGTATTCAATGACGGAAAACAAAACAGCTGCGCCACACCCTGCAGAAACATCATAACAACAGGCAGCGCGATGCCTCCAACCCTTTTCTCGACGCTCCACCCGTAGACGAGCATGCAAGCGGGTATGACGCCGCCGAGGAAGAAGACGCAGGACCGGAGTCTGTCTTCGGAGACGCGGTGGCCGCGGCGCTGGATGTATTTCTTGACGATGTGGTCGGCGTAGCGGCCGCCGAAGAAGGTGCCGAGGAGGTAGCCGCAGCCGGGGGCGATGTAGAAGAGGCCGGATTGGAGGGGGGATTGGAGGTTGAAGCGGGGGTTTAGGACGTAGCGGATGGGTGTTAGGAGGGAGTACATGTTCCACACCAGACTGCTACTCGCCAGTGCCGTTAAGAGGATATTGGGATACCGGTATAGTTTGACGACGCGGAAAGGGTTTAGCCATTGCCACATTTTGTGTGCGCGTTGTTTAGTGGGGAGGCCGACGAGTTCATCGGCGCGCTTCTTGTGGATGGTTTCGGGTTGCAGGAAGAAGCAGAAGAGGGTTGCGGCACCGGCCAGGGCGGTTTGCAGCCAGAAGATGTCGCGCCAGGAACGGAATGTTACGATGATGCCGCCGATGAAGGGGCCGAGGGCGGGGCCGATGAGGGTGCCGCTGAGGAACCAGCCTAGGGCTGTTGCGCGTTCGGTCTGGGTGGGTGTTAGTAGGGGAGGTGGTGTGGTGTGTGAGAGCTGTGATGAACGCTCGTTGCATACGCCGCTCCTCAAATTGATCTGGAAGCAATCACCAACACTGGAAAAGGGCATACATACCGGTTTATACACATCCCCAATAACCGCACTCCCAATCACCAAAAACGCCGTCCCCTGAAACGCAGTCAAAATCCTAAACACAAAAAAACTCGCCAAATTGGGCGCCAACGCCGTCCCAATCGAAAACGCAGTAAACAACCCAGCGCTCACAACACTAACCCACTTCCTGCCATATATATTCCCATACGGACCGTAGAAACATGGCGACAAGCCCATGAAAAGCATGTACAAAGCGTTCGACACATTGATAATACTGCCATCCGTGTCAAACGTCTCCGCAACTTCAGGAACAGCAGAAAGCACCGTGGTACTGGAGATCGGGGCCAGGAAACTGCAAAACGAGACTACGGCTACAATGACCATTTTGCGGCGCTCGGTGAATTTGTTGTAGATGACGTCGTTGTCGCCCGTGGCGATGTACTGGACGTTGGCCATGTCGTGGTGTTGGCTGACGGAAGAGACTGTGCGTTGGAGTTGGAGACGGTCTTGGTCGTTTTCATTGCTGCGTGGCTGGGGGATGATGGAGGCGTATTCGGTCGTCTTTTCAGGTTCGGCAAAGGGGGAGTTGGTGGGGAGTTGTTGGCCAGCGGGTGCTAAGGAGGATGTGGAAGAGGGTGCCATTTTGAGTGCTCATAGAAGGCGAGATGGTAGAATAGATACTAGAGTTGGTGAAGGAGTCGGGAAGGGACTCGTGCTGCTGGTTAGAGTGTTTGCAGCGACATTCGAGGTGTTGGAGGATGGAGAGGAGAGAGAGCAAGTGACGAGAGACGTTAGATATGTTCACGATTAGAGTACATGTTGGGCTATCTTTGTGCATTAGCGCTCCTGCAACGGCTCCATATCCGCGGGTGGAGACTTGTCGCTGCCCAAGGAGCGTCTTTTCCGTGAAGATTTTCGCCTACATCGTGTCGAGAGGTTATATCCGGTGAGTGGAGTAGCCGACATGGGTGTCGGGCTAAGAATGTCCGGTCGGAAACTTTGCCGCCGACGATGGAAATGCTCCGAAGTATGCTGCATTTGCGTACCAAGTATCTTCTCGAAGAAGTCGATGCACGACTAGAGTAGTTGTAAGATAGTGCACGCCTTATGAGCGCTGGCCAATACTGACCTCGGCACATGACTCCTTGGCGCACCAGACTTTCACATGCATGATGCAGACGACCACGTCGAGTGAGCTCAGGCGAAGAGCCCGCAAATATATACGTGTATTCGTAAGCCATGCGACAGGCCAAATTTGTACGGTGAAAGATTCTAGATAACCCAAACGTGGATCTTGCAGTGAGATCTCGTGTCCTGAACGCCGATGATGCAGTTGCGCTTTTCAAGCAAAGTAACCCTCTCCCAGCTCATATGCTGAGCTTGTCTAGACTCAGGCGGTCGGCGCTTCTGTGTCGCTTCACCATGCCCAGCTTGTAGAACTTCTCCTCGCCCGTCGCTGTTCGCCCGCCAATGTACCACTTCTCGGCGCCCATGGCTTCGTGGAAGCCTTCGGACGAGCTGTCGGAGCCCCGCCTGCCTCGACGCGACGCGCCTGGTATTGGGAAGGCTTGGGCTTTGGGTGATGTGGAGCGGTTGTAGGGGGCGGTGTGTTGTCGCGTGGGTTGGAAGTGGCCAGTCGCCTGGACGGACACGGTTGTCGCACCAGGCGATGGGGAGCGCGTCTTTGTGGTGATGGTCCGTGACGACGCGGCTGTTGTGTCGACGGTGTTGTTCTGTTGTGAGGTGGTGTTTTGCGAGTACGAGGCCACAGACGCTGCTTGGGAGGCCGTGGTCTTCTGGAGGCTGGGCTGTTGCGCGCGGAAGGCGGCGAGGAAGCCGCCGAAGAAGGGGCGGTTGGTGGTCATGGTGGTGGTGGTGGATGTCTGATCTGGTGAGGGTCGCTGGTGGCTCTGGGGCATAAGATGGCGTCTATAAACGTCGAATACTAGCGGCGGTGTAGAGGTGTGTGGTGTGTTGGCGGCTCCGCAACGGCGTTTCGTGCAGCGACCAAATAACAACAGCACAGGCGGCGCTTCGACTGCGCCGTTAAGCTCGGGCTCTGCGACGTTTTCTATTCCATGCACTAAGGGCGGGTCGTGAGTGATGGTTGGTGATGGTTGGCGATTATCGGCGCAAATGTGCGTGTGACGTAGGCGAGCTGCAGCTGGGGTGGGCGTCTACGCGTCTATATGTGAGGGTATGCGGTGCCGTTGATGTCAGCGGGGTAGGCGGCGACGCGGTTTATAGGAGACTGGGGGAGATGGCGGGGGGAAGGAGGTTTGGCAGGTTTGGCGCATCGGACCGTTGCTGGAGAGGAACATGTCGGAACCCACGACGCACCTGACGAGCTGCCAGTGCGCCTCCCGAACCTCGTCCGAGGCCATCCCCAGTACCTACCCTACTAACAACCACCATTCCAAGATAGCGGAGCCATCGAATTCACCCACGATGCGCTGTTTGGCCTGTTGCTCTGGGTCTCGCTTCGCCATGGTGTGCAGCTCTGACAGATCCACACCCGCTGAATGGCCGCCCACATCGCAACGGCCACCTACGCCGCCAACCACGCACATCTCCAGAACTCGTTCGCATGCCGTTATCCCGCTTGGCCTTATCGAGGCAAATCATCGTGCACCATCAAGTAACGCCCAGTAGTGGACCGCCATGCTCGATATGCGATCGCGATGCCCTGTTGTGTCGCCGGCTATTACCTGCCGCATGCTCTTGGAGGTGTGAAGAGCTCCGAGTGGTTCCGATAGCCCGGAACACCCACGAGGAACCTGCGCTTTGCAACACCTCGCAGCTCATACGACGCACGACGGTTGAGCTAACCCTCGTCATGTCTATCCATATCCACCAAAACGCGGGGTAGTCCGAGAATTAGCCCGTCTTCCCCAGATCTGGATATCACATAAAGAGTGACACGGCACTCTTCATGGCGCCGGTGCTCACACACATTCATTGACATATGCGAACGCATATGATCGGCATAGCATGGTCACGTGTTGTAGAGCCGCTTGTGACGTAGCCATGTGTAGACTCTCTCTGATCACAACCGGCAGACAGGTCGAGCATAGCGGCATATCGCTGCACGATGGATACTCATCAGCCTCTCAGAACCATCTCGCTGTACACGAGCGTCATGGCAATCCAACTGCTTCTGCCATGTGCTCTCAAGGCAACCAATCAGCCCCGTCAGCCTTGTGCACGGGCCTCACGTCCCCTCTATTAGGCAACCCTTTGCGTGGCGCAACTATCACCAACACCCTCTTCCAACTGACTTCTTACGACTGCTTTCTTTGAATCTTGTGTAGCCGTTTAGAGCCTTCAGTCACCGTACGACATCTTCCCAATACATCGCTATTGTTATGGCGACATTCTCTCTCCTCCCCACCGAGCTCGTGGAGTACATCGTATCCTATCTCGCTCAACACGATATATACGCTGTTTGCCGAGTCAACAAAAGTCTTTCCGATCTAGCCATACCGTTCCTGTACCGCCATGTTGATCTCTTCATACCACCTGGCAACAAACTCCCCAGGATCGATCGCTTCTGCCTAAATATCATCAGCGACAGCCGCAAAGCTAACAATGTCGAGTCAGTCCGCCTGGGACTATCACCAAGCGAAGATGTCAAGCAGGGTCAGCGGTGGCTGGCCCCGGACAAGACCTTTGACGATAAACAAATGTTTCGAAAAGCCATGGTTGCGCTGAGTGATGAGACGTTGGTGGCTGCGGGAGACTATCTAAGAGACGCCATCTACATGCGCGAGTACTCTGCCTACGCAGCGCTCGCCCTTCTCGTCCTTCCAAAACTCCGTCGACTCGACGTAGCAGATTACAAGCAGGCCACCTTCGACCACCTCCACAATGTTCTTCGCAATCTCGACCCCGGAACTCTTTGGAACCGGCGCTATCCATCGCAAGTTCTTCTTGATCGCCTCTCATCTATCAAAGAAGTATCCCTCATGGTTGACCGCAAGACCGGGGTTTGGTATCCAGGAGACAACAACCGCAATCCAATCGGCCACTTCCTGAACATCCCGGGCATTGAGAAACTCGAGTTGTTCAACCTTGGCGGGCAGTCGCATGCACATGGCGTGGCTATATCGCACTCACTGATAGCTTTTCCCACAGCTACTAACATCACTACGTTGGTCTTCCGACACTCGGGTGCCTTTAACCGGGGTCTAAAGTCTTTGTTCCAATGCACGCCAAAGCTACGTTCTCTTACGTACGATTCCTACTTCAACGCCCAGGCACAGACTACCCAGCGAGGAGATCTGCTTATGGTAGATGCCTGGAACGAGCACCTCAGGCCCCTGCAATCCACTTTGGAAGTCCTAGTCCTCACCGCGGAATACTCCGACCCAGACGCCTTCTTCTTCGCCCAACCCCGCATCGGCGATAGACTCTGCGGCTTTCTTGATCTCACCGACTTCACCGAACTACATACCCTTGAAGTCGCCTTCCCTTTCCTCACTGGCGACGTCGACTTCTCCATCACCAAGGATATTTATCCCCTATTCCCGCCAAACCTACGCCACCTCACGCTACGCCCCGATCTCTCGCACGCCCAACTCCCCTTCCCCTTCGACTCCTCCATCCTACCCAACGGCCTCACATTCGAAGAGTCAAAACAGGAAGCACAGTGCCTAATGAACGCCCGCATGGACGTATCCTACATGTTCCAAGCCTCCCTCTCCCTCCTCGACTTCTGGCCAGCTTTAGAATCCATGTCCGTCTGGCAGCCTGCCGATCCGTCGCTCGAGTGGTTCGACGGCCAGATTGAAGACTTTGCGACGACGTGTCGGAATAAGAATATCACGGGGAGGCTGCTGAAGCCTATGTTGCTGAGGTGGAAGAAGGCCGAGCATTGGGATTTGATGAAGGAGACGACGCTTTATGATCGCGGTGATCCGCAGTTGGGTGTTGTGGATAGGTTTTGGAGGGGGGAGTGGGAGGGGAGGCCGCTGGGGATGGGGTGTCAGTATCATTTGAATGCGCTGAGTAAGGGGAAGGTTAGGTTGCGGAGGTAGGAGTTTGATGGACTATCCGAGACGTGTCTCGTACACCTTTCTCGCACTTTCTTCCGCAGAAGAAAATTACCTTTCTCAAGCACTCCAATGCAGTCCAAGACAAGCTCTCACACAACTTCGGTTGCTCTCAAGCAAACTCCGCCGCATAATAGTTTTCACCTCAGCATACTCAGGCACCTTTATCATCTCACTTGTCACTGCCAGCACCAATACGAACGACCATGGCTACCGACTACAACTACTCCGACGAGTTTACCTCAGCTCAATACCTACCCCCCGGACGAGGCCCTCTCCTCATGGAATACAATCCCCCGCCCCCACCAGATCAGCCCCTCCTGCAGAGAATACTCCACGCAGTAACAGCCCAGTTGTCTACAGACACCATCACCATCTTCGTTACACTCGTCCTCACCTCGGTCT